TAAAATTTGTTGACACAAGTTTAGTTATTTTATATGTTAATTCTAACTATATTTGAATAATTCACTCAAAAATGTTTCAGAATTTTGTCATTTTCTAACATTTAAGGTAATTCAAGAAGAAAGAACGTTAATATTTCCAATTCTGCATAGCTGCAAAAAGCTTCGCCTGTAAACAAAACAAAAACTTAATTTTTATTTAGAATTTTTCTGCTCATCCCAAAGAATAACTTTATTTTCATTAAGAACCAGTTGCCTATTTAGAATATATTATCCTTTTCTTGTTTTTCAGATGTTTCCCCAAATATCTGTACAGACCTTGATTGAAACCTAGTTTTGATGCAATGTCAAGTGGTCTGATCATTTACTAATGAAATACAGTTATATGGAAAGTATAATTGGATAGAGCAAGAATTAGATTATCAGTAATAGTTGAATAAATATACAAGTTCAAGATATTTTTTTAACAGTTTCTGTACTTGTTCCTTTCAGTTCCACTCATTTGTGAACTGTGAAAGTATACATGTCAAATTATATGTGTTTGAAACCTACAGAAACTTTCTTCAATGAGAAGACATCGGGTAACCGAGATAAGGTAAGCTTTATAAAGTTTACAGATGGACTGAATGGATAACAAAAAACTTTATTAGAAGTTAAACACATTAACAAATGTACAAGTTTGGAGAGGGTTTCACTGTAATGATATTTTTTACTAATGCAGTTGTGTAAACATAAACTATACATGTTGTCCATTTGTTAAAGTTATTGTCCATTCAAATGCACTGTATAAACATAGAATTTTTTTAGTAATGCAGTTGTATAGACATAAACTATACATGTTGTCCATTTGTTAAAGTTATTGTCCATTCGAATGCACTGTATAAACATAGAATTTTTTTAGTAATGCAGTTGTATAGACATCACTACTCATGTTACTTTCATTAAAGTTACTTTCCATTAAATGCACTGTATAAACAGTGTTTTTAGTAATGCAGCTGTATAAACATAACTACCCATTTTACATTTATTAAACTTAATTACTATCCATTAGAATGCACTGTATAAGCACTGGGTTTTTTGTAATGCTTATGTCATTCAGTGTATGTAAACATAGTCACGTTCAGTTTTGTATTCATTTACAGTGGATTCTTGCTGAGTAGGTGTGTGTTGAATCAGTTCTCTTTCAAAATCACTTTTTATATAATCATCCAGAAAATCCTGTTCAATCCAAACAAGGAGCAGAAAATATTGTTTCTAAGCCTAATACCAACAAATATAGTTTTGTCACAGAAAAATGTTTTCCTTGTCAGTAAAATGGTAGACACTGCTCATGCTTCCATGATGAATTTTAAATAACTTTTTGTTTTGATTTGTAATAAAGTTTTTGGATTTGTTAATACACTAATACGGATGACTTATTAACAATATTTACATTAATTTTTAAACTATTAGAAAAGCAATACTAACTATGTGAGCTTTTGAAACAAATGGTGAAAAATTTTGACAACCTGTGATAATTTATAGTAATTTAATCCTAAAACTGTAAGATGATCATACAGAAATTTCTAAGTTTTGGTGGTAACTTTGAACAAGAGAAAATCTACTAGACCAATTTTTCATATACAACTTTGCAACAGTTTAGGTTTTGATTTCTTTAATCAAAAAACACAATAAAGAGTCTTCTAAAAGCAAAGCTACTTTGATCAGGATCATTTCACTCTGCCTTCGACTTGTACTTTAACCCAATGACTGCTGATTTAGCATAGAGGACATGGTCCACCTCTGGCAGTTGAATGCGAGTGTGCCATATATGGTGTATGGCTTCCAAAAATTCCACGCACATTTAGAGCAGCTGCAGTCAATGGGTTAAGAATGATTTTTGAAAAGGATAATTTCATAAACTTCAATAAAATTGCCTCTTGCCATACAACAAAATACAATACTACTACTAGCGGTGTTCATAAAGGGTAGATTCTGGATCTTTGTTATTATTTATTTGGAAAGTATATTACCCAACTAAGCTAATGATACTAAGATGTTGGGTGAGGCTAGAACTGCTGACAATGCATTTTTGATTCTTATGGAATATGAATTGGGCTATTAATATTAAGAAGTGACAAATCTGGGTATGTAAGTGTAAAGCAACTTGTCTCTTTTACGAGACACAAGCAAAAGTACCCGTCCCCAGTGACGGGAAGTTTAAGTTAATCTATCAATTTAAATTATTTCATGGACTTTAAAAATGGTTAATTGCGTTGCACTCTTGGTTTCACTCAGAGCCAAAGATCTAAGCTACTTATACTGCCCACTGAGAAAAGTAATTGTTGAGTATTTCACTCATGCTAAGAGCCACTCAACAACAACATACGGTAAATCTACATTCTTATTCTTTAAGTTACG